ATTGGAACATTGGTAAGGGAAGTTGATAGGGTTATTGGCACATTGGTAAGGGAAGTTGCAAGTTATTTGTATGAATCTCATTTGCGCCAGCTGTAAGTTATTTTCAGTATGCCTTAAATGATACACACGGATATAACTCAATCTTTTTTTCGTATTCAGAGACTAATATATAGGCACCAAGCCATTAATAAAGAATTCATTGACTTTAATTTATAATGATGATATTAATTAATAATTCTCGCATAAATACCATTGTCACCAAGGTTTTATTAAAATGTTAGATCCATCATGGTACAGTAATGCTAATGTAAACTCAGAATCACTGGTCGGTAAACGGGATTGACACAATTAGACTTGATAATGTGCTATATATTATCAAGTAATAACTATGCCAATTTCCGAAATATAGACTGGTACATTACAATTATAATATATACAATGTACACATATAAATTCTTCAAGCAATCTATTACTATACTACTACATGTCCTTGGTTTTTACATTATGGTTTTTACTTTATTCTGTTGTTCACAAAATTCAGATAAAAAAAAACATATTTTACTAAATAAAAACTAGTTTTTGCACAAACAAAACAAAACGTGTATAAAAAAAATGATGATTTGGGTGACATTCACCATCGGTTTCTATTGTATATTTCAACAATTTTCTCATATGGTGAAAAAAAAAACATATTTGAAAAAAATTGTACTTATTATGATTGTCAAGAATTATTTGGAAATTTACATGAATATTGATACTGTTTATTTTTGTGAAATATTACTTTTATAATAAGCATCACTATGGAAATTGTTTATTTTGCCTCCAAGCTCTCTGGTTATTCTAATACATAATACATATAGACGATAAATTAGATATTAGTTGAATAATTAAAGTTGAATAATTAAAGTTGAATAATTAAAATTAAAACAAGATGAATAATTTTCACCTCCAGCTAGGTTTCAAAGGTGTTTACTGGTCAGGAGTGATTTTTCACCTCACATCAGGGAGTTCTGGGTTAATTCTCAGAGCTGACTTTTCATAGCAGGTAAATCAGAGTACAGTCTGCATTGTCTTCCAATCATCCAGAATTATCGTCAAAAACAAAAATGTCAGGAGACATGACGACAGTTATTTCAATGCCTGCATTTACCTCTACTGTAAAATAATTTATTTTAGCTGGAATTAATTTTCGCTGGAAAGACTTTTTGGGTGCTTTGTATGGAATTTATTTTCACTGATTTTTGAGTTAAAATATAGAAAAAAAAAGGTATACCGGTAGTCACTGGATTTTTATTCCACTGAATCATTTCTTCAGCAAAAATAACGAAAATAAAGTATTTTACAGGATTGTGAAGAATAAAAATAAGGACAGTTTCTTTTGAATGCTCCTAAAAAGTATTGCCTTATGCATTTTGTACAGCAGTCTTGAATTCCAAATTTAAAACTTCAGAAGTGTTATTGCGATGTGCCTGATTTTTAAATGGCCATTAAAAGTCGGGAAATTAAGTAACTGTAACCCATAGGATGTCTACATCCAAGAAGATAAAAGAAAAAAAAAACTGCATTGTTTATGTTTTCCGGTGATTTATTTTTTTGATCTGGAACAACAACTGCTAGAAAAATCCATTTTTTCAATATCAATTTTATTTGAATAAACAAATCACACAAGTAATTGGTAATGAAATATCGTCACGACGATAATACATGTATGATTTCCTAAGTAATTAATATTCAGATCATTTTTCAGGTTATCTGACCACGTAAAAACCTGATAATTTGTCAATCCATAGCACAGCGTCGTTTTGATTGGATGATGGGTATATCTTTTTCATTTAGCTTTTTCAACCCAAAATCAGGATTGATGTATGTAACAAATGAAAGATAATTCTGATCATCACTCAGCTTTCTCACAACTACTCAGCTATGACACTATTAATCATTTCACCACCAGTTGCCTCTCTTCATCACAATATTCGCAGAATAATCCCATTTTAGTCTGCCATTTCCTACTGAAAACATTAATAGCCAATTTTTTTGGATAAAAACTAAAAATTGACTCAAATTTTGTTTGTTGGTTCGAAAATAAGCATTCATTTCCAGAAATATTGAAAAATTTAAAAAAAAAAAGTGCAGACAAATATCGGAGAGAGTCTGGTGGTAAAAAAGTTAAACTCAAATATGGAATATCAAGTAAAGTT